CAGATGCCACATCAAAATAACCTGCAGTCAGTAAGGTACTTAACATGAAGTAACAAGGGAAATGTTTAATGTCTGTATGTTTTTTGTGGCGTTTATGGTTCTCACGGCGATAAAATGTCGATGTTCTCGTCTTAGTTGTAACGCTCTGTGACCTGCAGATGCATACATACAGACGTGTCGAAACAACATAGGCCCTTTATCTTCAGAAGGTCACAACCCAGAAATCCACATTGATATCTGATTACTATTTTGATTTTCGTCCTAAAAAAATAATGCGTTATGTAGCTACAATTATAAACACAAATATTATATTTATTATTACAAGATCCATTTCATGAATTTTAATGCAATTTTTATGTAACAGTTTGCAATTTCTTGTGGCCTTACCAAGCCATGTGGATACTGGATACTATCATATGTCGTGAACACAAGTAAATACGGGGAATTTTATTGTGAAGCTTTTTCAAATTCTTACAACTTTGAGAAAATGTTCGCTACCAACTTATAACAAATACGATAACTAAAATGGAATCAGCATTAGTATCACTGTAAAGATATTATTGTGAAGCTTTTTCAAATTCTTACGACTTCGAGAAAATGTTCGCTACCAACTTATGACAAATACGACAACTAAAATGGAATCATCATTAGTATCACTGTAAAGATGCCGTGCAGTTCTTGGTTCGTGTTCTTATAATTCATACAGTCCAATTATTTGCAGCTATTTCTCGGCACGTTTTGCCCAATAAGGGAATTTACTGTAGGAAAATAACAAACCAAAAGCAATAATAAGGGATATAAAACAGACGCGTGTGATTTATTTAACTGGTATAAAAAGCCCGCTGACATTCAACGGGGAACAGTTACTTTCCTGTTTTCATCCATTGCCCTTTTATACATTTCGTGCCTTTAACTCCTGCCCCCTTTCTTCTTCGCATTCTCTTCACATCCTTTTCAACTCAGAACAAAAATCAAAATGTAAGCCGTCCTACCCACTACGTTTTTTATTCAGAGTTTTAATTGCCCACATTAGACGTACTTTTACAAACTACCTAATGGTAGAACGAATTTCACATTGAATGTTACACCACTTAGAGTCATTAATGTAAACTTCTGGGAATCTGTTAGGGATATATATTATAAAAAGTTATAAAAGATGCCTAGTGGTCTCGGCACTTGTAAAATAGAGGTGTTTCCCATTTCACTTTTTGGTCTATGTAAGCGGGAACAAACATTAAACTGTGATTTTATAGCTTAATAGAGATTATTTAAATTCTGACTTTACTTTTTTCAGGGATTTTTTTGGAAGACAACCACCCTTCCTAATGAAGAAAATAATAATCACTCACAAATCAATGTTTTGAATAGTTTTAAGTAATCTTCGTTCACAAATGAATATCTAAACTCACTGGCTGCACAGTATTGCTACTTTCTAACCAAAAATTTTCAAAAATTAAACATTTGTTAACATGATAGCTTATTATATTCTATTTAACAAGTTATAATATAAAGCATATACTTATCCTGGATTTACTGATAAGAAATGTAACTAAAAGCCGCTGTAACGAGAATATAATTTGTTGTAACCGCTTCATATTTATTTATACTATGCATCGCAGCCTTCATATCCTTCGCGGTCCATTTGGAGATCCCGAAAAACCAGGTGAGAAACACTTTGCTATGGAAACTGCGATACTAAGATCTACAAGGCGAAATAACCCAGAATCTTAAATCTCACTTTGTGCCAGATAAGGGCTGTGAAAACGTATTTAAAAGCAACATAGCTGCCTCTTTTCGTGATTTTAGCAATCGATCGTGTAATTTCATTAATAATTCTAGGGGACTGAACGACATTTAAAACTCGTTATGCAATTGTTCCTAGTAATCTGTCATTTAAACTCCCTCAGAATTAAATATCTGTCTCTCCAGCAGAAACCGGTGTGTTCGTTCGAGCTTTGAGACCCTACATTACAAGCACACCTTTCTCGAGGCAATGTAAAGAAATTCGCACAAATATGAGCACAGTAGATAAAAGAAGCACCTTCAGATTTTCTTTTATCTGTAACCTAGTGGATTTTATGGAATAGCGCTCATGTTGTTGGCGGCCCTGATAAAGCACTACGTCTGCGGTGGAATGAGAGCTACTGCATTTCTTGCTTATTTTGATACAAATACGGATTTATATATGCTTATTACATTCCAGATTTATTTTGTTCCCGTTCCTGTGCTATTATTAATACCACATGAATAACAAATGCCAAGCTTAATAGCATACCTGTGGCTATAAATCCAGTCTCTCGAACTAGCAGTGTCACCACATTTTGAAGTGAATATCAGCGTTTCTGATAACATGAACACCGCGTGTTAATGCAATAACTTTTTAGCATAGGGGTATTGTCTTCGATGACTGTAATAAGAATTTTAATTGAGTTGCCGTTATCATGGTCAGTTATGTTTCGACCCTTATTTGTTATTTAAAGGAGAAGAATAATATTTGTAATGTGTATATATACTGTAAAACACCAAAACCAAAAGATAAGTAACTTTGCTTTTTCGTATTGGGTAAATAAATCGGTCTTCTTTGCACTTCCTTCAAATTGTACCTTGTACATTGGTGACATATGTTTCCCTAGTAAAAATTATGTACATAATTTTGTAAGCGATGCATAAATTTTTCCACAGCACGAGTGAACATAATGTCAGGGTAGTCTGCTGTTGGTTGAACATGTACCAATCTAAGTCGGTGTATATCACATTGGTACTGTAAGTAAAGGACTTATTAAGTGGCCGTCTTATTTGTATCCTTTTATTTGAGCTAAAAGTTTGCGTTTTTCAAAATGTGTCCTTGACTATGCTCGTATTTTCCTCGGTTCCCGTAATGGTATCGTTTCTCATTAAGCATATTTGTCTCTCTTTCCTGTGTTCACAGGAAGGGCGGTAGGCTCTTTTCAGGTAACATTATCCTTTGCGGAAGTAAGCAAAAACTTTCCCCGGCCCGTTAAATGGTATCTCTTTTACTGAGGCTATAAAATTTGTAATTAACAACTTTCGTTTGATCTCTGTATATTTATTTTTGGTTCATATCTTCCCCTTCCTTCTTTGTGACATCTGATCCTGTTAAGCAAATTAATATTCTTGGAGCATATCTAGAAGTACCTGATACAGATAATTCAATTCCAGCCCCCTCAAGCTTTCTTGTATTCCTTAAATTAATATCAGAGCTAAAGCGTCCCCTTACTTTATCCCGTGCTGAATACAATATTCATCAGAAATTCTGCTTCATAAGACAAGACTGGGGCAAGAACTGAATTCTTTAGTATTATTTACATTAACTCTTTGTTTCATCGACTTAAAAAAATAAGATACTCCTTACTAGAAGCTTCGCGTGTGAGTGGGTAAAACTGCTGATGCGTCCTGTTTAACAGGATTTTTGTGGTTTTCGGTAATCTCTTAAGGCAAAGGTTAGGATTATACCTCAAACATACAATGACAGTTCCTTCCCAATTCACCATTCCTGCCATCTGATGTGATGTATTAAGATGGGGAAGATATTATTAGATGATTATATGAAGTAAATGCATAGTTTTCACTGTGTAATATGGATTAATATTAACTGCATATAAACTGACAGATGGATAGGAATGTTTCATTAACAGCGAATTTTAATACCATGCGAAAATATCAGTGGAACTGACACTTTCCTCTATTAGGCGCTGTTTTATGTTTGAATTTTTTAAAAAAATACCTATTGTACTATGAGAGCATTTTGAATGACACGGAAGTAGCCAGGATCTCCTGCATTGGCTAAAGTTCACAGGAAGTAAACGTGGGAATGAATATGCGTGAACAGTACAGCAGCGTACCAGACAAAGGAATGGAGCCTCAGATGCTGGTCCTTGCTCTCAGTTTACTGTGTCACCTTTCAGATGCGGTACCGGTAAGTCATTAATTACTTTAAAAGAAAGGGAGAAGAATATTAAGAATAATAAGTAATCAAAAAGCAAACTAATAATTCCACTACGTTTGCCCGTTATTCTGTTTCTAACAAATACATCACATTAACATGTGATAACGTGGAGAGAGTACAGAGTTGCTGTAGCGCATTACACACACATATTTATGCATTTACATAAATTTCATATTTAAGATTTCCTATTTAAACGGACTAAATATTACGAAAATAACTAAACTTGCTTATTTGTTCGTTCAAGGGAAACAGACAAATATTTTCATTCATTGTATTATACTACTATATCCGTATGCTCCAAATAAATTACCATAATGTCAAGTGACAGTTGTTTGCTGTCAGTAAGAGGAAGGCTGCAGC